CGCCGGACGCGTGTGCGTGCGTGCCCAAGATCCCAAGAGGAGAATGGAGGAGAAAGGATTGCGGCATGACCATCCCCCTTGGGGGGGGGGGTGATTTCTCGCTTTCTGTCTCTCTGTCTTTCTCTCTGTCTGTCTAGCGAGTGCATGTGCCCTATGGCAAAAATCTCTCAAAAAAAATATTCTGGGGGACCAGCAGTTGGCATAATGGATATGTCGCTGGACTCCCATGTAGTCAACAATGGTTTGAGTCCCGGACCCAGTGGCTTAAACTCATGCTGGGTGTGTGTGCATGCCCAAGACCCTGAGAGGAGAATGGAGGAGAAGGGATTGCAGCATGGTCACCCCCCACCTGGGGGGTGATTTCTCGCTTTCTGTCTCTCTGTCTCTCTCTGTCTTTCTGGTGTGTGCATGCGCTCTATAGCAGAAATCTCTCAAAAAAATATTCTGCGACATGTGGGCATTTATTAGCCAGTGGGTATTTATTAGCCAGTGGGCATAAAACAGTCTTAGAGCCTGTGCTAGAGGTAGAGAGAGGTCATAACTCTACCTTTTTGAATTCTCATATGAGAAGCTCACTGTCTGCACAGACCAGTCTTCTATCATAGTGGTTCTCAAAGTGTGATCCCTGGAGCACCAACATCAGCATCACCTGGAAACTTGGTGGAAATAGAGATTTTTCAGACCCTTCGCCCGAATCTACCGCATCAGAAAATTTGGGATGGGACCTGGAGATTCTGTATTTTTAAATTATCCACCCAGATAATTCTCATGTACACCGAAGTTTGAGAACCATTGTTCTAGCTACAGGATTCTGTCAATGATCTAATTATATTCAGACAACCAAGACATTTGGGAACCCAACCCAGTGCACCATTTCTAAAGATGGAGGACTTACTAGATTCTTCTTAAACCCTGTTAACATAAGGGCAGTGAATGTTTCTTAACATTTTTTTCAGCAGTCTTTATATTTTGCAAACTGTTAATATCACCAATGCTAGCCTGTCTAACATTAATTAGGATAATTAATGAAACCCCTTGTGTAATAGGAGCTAAATATAGCTGAAACACTTACAGTGGCCACCTCTGGAGTGAGGCTTTTTGATTAATTGCTAGCCAACCACCCCTGGAGTGTGCATTCCTGATTAAGACAACTGACCGCCTCTCCAGTGTAGCTTAAGCTAACACACATACACATATATTGTACTGTCCATGTGAGAGTTTTATTGAACTCTTACAATTTATTTAGGCATAATTTAAACACTGAAAGTCTTACATTCTAAATGCACAGTATGAGTTTTGACAAACAGATACACTCATGAACCACCATACCGATCAACATTGATAACATCTCAATCACCTAGAAAATACCCTTGTGTTCCTTTGCAGTCAGTTACCCACTCCCCTTTACCCCTTCCCAAGCTACCATCTGTCACTGTAGTTGAGTTTTTTCTGTTCTAGAATTTCATATAAATGGAATCAAACAGTATGTATTGTTTTGTACCTGGCTTCTTTTCTGAGCTTAATGTTTTTCACATTCATTCATGTTGTGTTATCAGTAGTTAGTTCCTTTCTATTGCAGAGTAGTATTCCATTATATGACTATTCCACAATTTCTATTACTTTTCTGGTTTGTTTCCAGTTTGGGACCATTATGAATAAAGCTGCTGTGGACATTTATAGGCACTATAATTTTTTTATATGCACTACTTTTTATGGACTTTATGTTTTTATATTTTTTGGGGGAAAATATCTAGGAATAGAATATTTTGGTCATAAGGTAGATATATGTTTAATTTCATAACAAACTGCCAAAATGGATTTCCAATGTTGTCATACTTTTGTATTTTATATTCTCATCAGCACCATATGAGAGTTCCAGTTGCTCCATTTCCTTGCCAACATTCTTTTTTGAATCATTCATATGATTTTATTTTCTCCCTTCAACCATGATAATATGGTATCCAAATTTTGTCTTAACTGGTGGGTCTGTAAACACAGGCTTACCCATCTTACTGACAGGCAAGACAAATGCTGCTTCTTGAAATGGTCCCACCATGGACCCTCTGGTCATCAAACCCAAGTTGCTCCCTTGCCTGGCTTTATCTTCATTATATATTGTGTGACTACTTCACTGAATCTCATTCCCAACTTTAACTTTTCCATGGCTTCCATAATTTTGCCGTGTTTTTCACACAATGTGTCTGACCTTTATTGCATTGCCACCACCTTTGGGACCCTGAACCTTCTTGTCAGCACTGTCATTCCCAGACACTGCTCCTCCTTTACCCCTTTTCTAGAATCACTTCTTCCTTGGGAGGCATCTTTGCGATTTTCTGGCCAACATTTTGTATTATGAGACTTTTAAAAAATTTTAGACTGAATTGTTTATAAAGTTGTAAACCAAATAACATTGATTCAAATGGTTTAGACTTGCATTAAATGATTGCCCTTTCTTTAATGTTTCATTAGATTGGTTTGTGCGTGTCATTTGATTGTGGCAGTTAGTTATATTTGCTGATATGTATGTTTCTTTCTTTCTTTTTTTTCTTTTTTGGAGAGATTTTTGCTTTAGGGTGCATGTGCTTGTAGGAGAGACAGAGAAACAGCAAGAAATCACCCTCCAGGGGGGATTGCCACACCACAATCCCTTCTCCTCCATTCTCCTCTCGAGATCTTGGGCATGCACACATATATTCCCAATGTGAATTTTAAGCCACCAGGTCCCGAACGTGTACTGTGGTCGACTGTGTGGGTGCCCAGCATCATAACCATTACGCAATCTGCTGGTCCCTCTTTCTTTCTTTTGTTCATTTATTCACTCAGTCTGTTGATCAGTCCCTTAGCTCCTTAGCTATTAGACCTACTTTTTCAGAGAGCAGTTATATATTAAGTTGCTAAGAAATATGACAGAAGTAGGTGACAGGGTTCTTGTCTTCAGGGAGCTTTCTGAAACTGGGTTCCTGAAGCATACATTCACAGACATGCGAGAAAAGAAATGTAGGTAGCCCTGTGTATGTCAAAGCTTTTTCAGACTTGAGTAAGGACATCATCTAAATATAGCTCCCTGCTAGGTGACATGAGTCAGGGCTTGATAGACAGGTGGCTGTAGAAACCACAGTAGCATAAATCGTTGAATTGTTATTCTATGCTAAATATTGGAATGATTGCACCTTAGAATATACAACTAAAGATTTAACTTTAATCCCAATGATATCTTAAAAATACACTTTGTGTACAAGCACATACGTGCTGGGTAAAAACATACTCAAAATCTTAGTGTATACCTTTGAGTTATGGGATTATAGATGATTTGTTTACTGATTTTATATTTTTGTTTAATTTCTAAATTTTCCACAGTGAGCATTTATAGTTGTTGTAATCAGAAAAAAAAAAGTTGTATTGCCTCTTGATGGTTAAGTTTCTTACAGGTATTTCAATAATTTGTTTCTGGTTCTCTTTAATCTTGTGTGGCAAAGTTTCAAGATAGTAGATACAGATGGTGGTCTAGGAAAAAAAATGCCCATCCTTCTTTTTCCTCTGGGAACCTGAGTTACCTGAATGCCCTGCAGGCTATGCCACTGTAGTCCTTCACAGAAATTATCTTCCCTGATTGCCAAAGGGCAAAAGGACTTTTTTCCTTTCTCCACATCAACAGAATTTCAACTCCCAATGCTTAGAGCATAGGCTCAAGAATTTTTTTTTTTCTAATCTATTTTTGTGGTTGGTGTAGCTGTTGGCAAGTCATTGGGGATTTTTGCCTTAGGTTTCTAATGAGATAACAAATGACCTTTGTTTCCCTCCTTTTCTCTTCAGCTGACCTGAATAATGTCAGATTCTCAGCTTATAGGACTGCCATGAAACTCCGAAGACTGCAAAAGGCCCTTTGCTGTAAGTATTAACCAGTACTTGAAGACTTTGATCATTTTTCTTTGCTTTAAAAAATAAAAGTGGATTGGAGGTATTTTCACTTGGAGAGGAGAGAAATTGCTGTCACAAATCCTGTTGCAACACGGAATTCATTGTTTGAAATATCTTTGGGGCCTGGTGTTTGTCTAGGCTATTTTGTTACATTGTTTAGTTATATTCCTCAGCTACTAATGTTGAATTGTTAAGATATTAATAATTTTTTATTTTCCCACTAATGTCATACATAATTCACTTCATGAAACTTCTATTATATCTCTCTTTCTACCTCTGTTTCTTCTTACAAAATAAATTTAGTATTAGAAGACTGTGATATCTTATCCAAACCAAAGTTCACAGACTGTATGATTTGTGAGCTTGAATGGTACTTTGAGATGAATGCTGTGATAGTGGAAAGATGACAGGGCTACTTTTCTGCCTTATTTTTTTTTATCACATATCTATGAGAAGATCCTAAAATATTATATATAACTCTTTTTATCAGATAGTTTACATGTAGCTCTCTTTTAGCAACAAAGTGAATTATGGTATAATATTGTGTGAGTGTCTATATGCATTGATGATATTCCCATGAAACAGATAAGCACTGTCCCAACCTTAATGGAACTTCTAATCTAGTGAAAGGCACCTAGGATGTCCATAAACTCTGAAAACAGACATGCAAGGGGCTTTTAAAAGTTCATGGAAAATGCAATTAATGTATAAGTTTACTTTGGTGCAAAAAAAATTGAAATTCATACATTTGCATAGTATACATTTTCCATGGACTCTTTGAGGACCCCTTGTATAAGATCATCCAGAACATCATCTATAGATTGATTTCAAAAATTAAAATGATATTGCCTCTATTTCTTTCTTTCTTTCTTTCTTTCTTTTTTTTTTTGAAGAGGTTTTTGCTATAGGGTGCATGTGCTAGCCAGAAAGAGACAGAGAGACAGAAAGTGAGAAATCAACCCCCCCCTCCCCCAGAGGGATGGCCACACCGCAATCCCTTCTCCTCTATTCTCCTCTTGGAATCTTGGGCATGCACGAACACATGCCTGGCGTGAGTTTAAGCCACCAGTCCGAGAATCAAACTACGATTGACCACATGGGAGTCCAGCAACATAGCCATTATATCATCTCCTGGTCCCAACATTTCCTCTGTTTCTAAGCTTTATGGGCACCCTGAGAATAAGTGAGGAGACATTTTCATTTAGTATATTTTGTTTTGTATTTTTTAGAGAGGTTTTTGCTATAGTGTTTGTGTGATCTCCAGAGACACAAAGACAAAGAGACAGAAAGCAGGAAATCACCCTCTGGGGAGGATATGGTCATGCCACAGTCCCTCTCTATTCTCCTCTCAGGATTTTGGGCATGCACGTACGTATACCCAGTTTGAGTTTTAAGTCGCCAGGTCCAGGACTTGAACCACAGTCAACCACGTGGGAGTCTAGCAACACAACTATTAGGTCTTCTACTGGTCTCTCTTTTAGTATATTTTAATGTAATATATTTAGATGTATGAGAGTGAGATGATGTCTAAGCTAGGTGAGTGCACAGGGTAAATAGATCTCACTCTGGGAATAGTGTTCTCATCCAGAGGAAGAGCCTTGAGCCCAGAGAAAGTGCAGTGCACTCAGGAACTGATGAAAATACTTCATCATAGCTAAAGCATACCATTTCGGGGAAGGGTTGTAAAATATTAGTCTGGAGAAAGAAGCAGGAGGCAGATCGTGAAAGACTTTCTAAATCCAAATTAAAAAATTTAGAAGTCAGTGGGGAGCTGTGCAAGGGGTTTTGGCAGAAGGATGATGTATATGATCAGATATTTTGTTTACTGAGAACATTCTAGCTGTGGAACAGAGTGTGAACTGGCCGGGGGGGTGGGAGTCATGTGAATTGACAGGAAAGAGACCTGTTGCAGTAATCTAAACCAGCAACATGTTGGCTGGAGTGAGCAAAGTGGGAATGGAGATAAAGTGGAGAGAATTTAGAAATATTTAGGAGGTGGATTTGACAAACCTTAGTGATGTATTTGAGGTGGCCACTGAAGGGAAGTTAAGGAAGACACTTGGGTGCTTGCCTTGGGTTACCAGGTAGACTTACCTGGTAGAATAGGAAGAACATGGAATACACAAATAGTATTTAGAAATCATCAGCATCTATGTGCTGATATTGTTTGTTTATTTCCCTGCAGAGAATGAGATGGCTCAGGGAGAGTCTAGAGTGAGATGAGAAGAGTAATTTAGGACAGAAGGAAAGCATTCTACAAAGGGAACTCAAAGGAGTGGCCAGTGGGGTAGAATGAGAATCCTGAGAGATTTTAGTGCTGCATATTACATGTGAAGAAAGAAGAATGGACCTGGGGACCAGCAGGTAACATGGTGGCCAAGGCACTGGACACTCCCACATGGCCAACCATAGTTCGAGTCCCAGACCTGGTGGTTTGCTTTCTCACTTTCCCTCTTTCTGTGTGTCTTTCTCTGTGTCTCTCTCTGGTCAAATTAAATGAATAAATAAAATTAAATAAACATTTTTTTAAAAGGTTTTTTTTAAAAAAAGAAAAAAAAAAGAAAGAAAGAATGGACCTGTCACGCAGGTCAGATGTTGCCTGGGCATCAGGATGAAGTTGGGAAAAGTGCCCATTATCTTTAGCAACAAAGAGGTCCTTAGAATTTTTAGAGGCATTGGGACCAGCAGATGGCTTAATGGTTATGTCACTGGACTCTCACATAGTTGACCATGGTTTGGGTCCCAAACCCAGTGACTTAAACTCATGCTGGGCACATGTGCATGTGTGCCCAAGATCCCAAGAGGACATTAGAGGAGAATGGATTACAGTGTGGCCATCGCCCCAGAGGATGATTTCTCACTTTCTGTCTCTGTTTTTCTCTGTCTCTCCAGTGAGCACACACACCCCATAACAAAAATCTCTCTAGAAGAAGAAAAAAGGAATTTTTAGAGGCATGACAGAAGTCATGAAGTGAGCTTAAAAATTAATCAAAATTGATAATGTGGGCAGCAAAGGCCGGATTTCACATAGTCAACCAGGGTTCGAGTCCCAGCCTGGTGGCTTAAACATGCTGCACACGCACACACATGTCAAAGATCCTGACTAGATATAGAATTGGTGGAAGAAGGATTGTGGCATGACCAAGCACCATTGGGGAGTACTTTCTCCCCGTCTCTCTCATGTGTATGTATGTGTGCACACACACCCTCTGACATTAAAAAAGAAAAGTGGGAGTGTAAAAATAGTTGGTATGGCAATTCTTGGAGGAATTTATTAGTGATGGGAAGAGAAGAGGGATGGTAGTTGGAGGAGGCTGAAGACTTAAAAGAGTAGATAGATGAGTGGTCTTCAAAAAGTTCACAGAAAATGCCTATGATGGGAAAAACTAAAAAAACCTATGCCTTTTTTAGCTTTTGCCATAGGGTGTGTGCACTCACTGGAGAGAGACAGAGAAAGGGAAAGGGAGAAATCACTCCCTGTGGGGGGATGGCCATGCCCACTTCTCGTCCATTCTATTCTTGGGAGTTTGGGGCAAGCATACACATGTGCCCACGTGATTTCATTCTTCAGGGTCCAGGACTCAAACCATGGTCAACCATGTGGGAGTCCAGCGCCTTACCCATCATGACACCTGCTGGCCCTGGTTTTCAAGATTGTTTACACAAAAATAAACTTGTACTTTAATTCTGTTTTTCCGTGAAATTTTTTGAAGTACTTGTGTGTGTGTGTGTGTGTGTGTTGTGTGTTGTGTGTGTATGTAAGTTTAAAGATACTTGAGTATATTTACAGGAAGATGAGATAAGACAGGGTGAGATTAAAATTGTTGGCTCGAGAGAAGATAAGGTAAAATGTGAATTCTTAGAGGACATAAACAGGTGGGGGTAGGGCAGAGAGAAAGTTCTGTAAAAGATCAAGTAATGAAGAGAAACAGTAGGAGGAAGATGAGAGATGCCCATCTAAAAAGGTTCTGTGTGAAGTTGGAGGAGAGTCCCTGTGATGCAATCAGCAGCAGAAGGCGATAAAGCTGAGGTTGGATATATCGTTATGGAAGAGAGAGGACTAAGTGGAGATCCAGCATTGTGGAACCCATTCAGCAGACTTTCACAGTAGCACCAATCTGCAGTGGTCTGGTATTTCTCCAGTCACGCTCAGCAGCCAGAAGTTGAATTCTGCTATCCCAGGATAGTCAGAGGATAGCTGGGCAAGGTGAGTAAGGATCTGGACAAGAGTGGTTAAAGTGATATCTACTGGGGGTCGGCAGTTGGCATGGTGATTAGTGGCATTGGATTCCCACATGGCTGACTGTGGTTCAGGTCCCAGACCTGGTGGCTTGCTGTCTCACTTTCCATTTCCCTTTCTCTCTCTCTCTCTCGTCAAATAAAAAAATAATAATAACACATGGAGTTAAATAAATAGATATTTTAAAAAGTGATATCTACTGAGTTCATGTTGGGTAGGAGAAGCTATTAACTCAGGTGGAAGTCAGTAATTACAAGGTAGTGTGATCAAGAGACTAACTGTTTAAGGAGGTAGAGGAAGACGTCGTTAAGGAACTGAAGGCCAAGAATTTGTGGTCCGAGAGAACCATGGCTGAACATTATTTCAAAGGTATAGCAGTTGCAGGGGATTAGGTCTAGGATATGGCCACTTGAGTCAGTGGCAGAGGTAGAGTAGACATGAATTTCCATGGAGATGTATTAAGAAGTTAAGGAAATGAGAAGCTAGAACAATGCTCAAGTCACTCATACCAATGTTGAAACCATCCAGAATTGGGGCCAGACTTGTTAAGAGAGAAGGACTTTGAGCTCTGACTACTAAGTCTTGCAAAATGAAAAGGTATGACCAGGGGATCTGTGGAGGCTAGCAGTAAGAGAGTCAAGAAGTCCAGAGAAGGAGCATCCTAGGAGTAGAATTATTTGGAAAGAGAAAGTAGGCCTTTCCTCTTCATATTTGTATCTACAATGCTTAG